CATATATATATATATATGCATGTGTGTGTGTGTATGTATATGCATATATACCCACACATATACATATACATACATACACACACATATATATACATACAACTTAGAACTTTCCTGAAGAGATTTGTGAAACCGATTTCACTGGCTTGAAGAGACATTTGGATTTCAAAAATTATACTATACTAACATTTGGGAATGAGGATCATCTATTACAGTACTTTTATTATTTAAAAAGAAAAATGTAGAATCAGTACTTACTCCTTATTTCTGTTCTCAGTGCAAGGATGGTAAAGAACTTTAACAGCCTTATGAATCTCAGCAGGCCTCAATGAAGATGACAGCTCAGGTTCAAGTAATGTAAAAACATTATTGGAAGCTGGGTTTCCTGAAGTTTCCACCATCAGTGTGTCACAATTCAATATCCAGATCTACGGATAAGGGACATTCTTACCAGTCACATTTTATTGGGCTTAGTCCACATATAGAATCTTACTATGGCCAGATTATTTATTAGCAAACACAAATGGGGACAAACGAAAGTGGAATTATCCCAAGGACTTACTTTTCTCACACAAGAGGACCCAGAAGGCACTACTACTATGCTATCCAGTTTTAAAGCTCTTGTGCTCTCTGGAAAATGCCGGTATTGGCTTTCTCTTTATAGAAAAATGTTCTTCTGGTTGTTTTGTTAAAAGGTAAAAAAAAGAGGAAAGGGTATTTCAAGGCTTGTAGAAAGGCTTCTGGCTGTTATTTCAGAAATGTAGAAAACGTGCCTTCAAAATTAAAACAGAAATGATGACCTCACAACTCATGATTCGATGATGGAATGAGCCCCTGTTGTAAGTTGGCAATGCTCCCCCCCGCCCCGCCATGATGTGTGGGTTCCACATCCAAGCAGCATTTTACGTTAACTGCTGGAAAGATAAAAGGAGTTTGCTTAGCCAGGAGATAAGATCAAGTTATCAGGTTGGATTTAACCAATGGAACTCTTTCTAGGAAAACAAAGGCATTGACTGATTTGATTTGATTTGATTGATTGATTGATTAGGTTTATACTCCATTTTTCTACTTTGGCAAATATTCGAAGCAGCTATCAAAATTCTGAAACAAAAACAGAATATAAAAACTAAAAACACAGATTTAAATTAGCGATCGAATTGTACTAAAATAATTTAAGAATTAAAAGTTGGGTGGAGGTACATTCTGCAATCTTGGAACAATGCAGGAGAACACCTTGGCTTGCCCAACTGATAGTGGGAGCTTCTTCAAAAGAGCCCCCCTGCAGATCTTAACAGCTGGATAAGTCTGTAATAAGATGAGGCAGTTTGTTATAGACAGCACTAAGACTTCTGACTTACCAAGATATATACTGTGCCATCCATTCCTTGGATGCTGAACCTAAATGTGCTTCTAGAAAAAGCGAGTTCCATGAAGCACCGGGCTATAACACTCCGTATAAAGGAAGACCTGTTTTGGAGCAGAAAAGGCAATCACATACAAAATACCCAGAAACACCATTATTTGAAAAACAAGTGAGAACATAAAAGAAACATTCTAGGCTGGAGTAACCAACATTTTTATATCCCAGTAGCTGTAGTTTCAGCTTATAACTGCTAGGGGGTGTTGCAACACATTACTGGTGATATTTTGACACCACCTGAAAACAGGGAAGAAAATGTTGCCCTCATCCATTTGGGGGCACTGAGACTGTAAATGGACTTCTGAGGGTCACATACAGCCAGAATGCTGCCTGTTAATCTTCTAGGGCATTCTTCTCTCATCCACTGCCCTTAAGATATACCAGAACAACATCTGTAAGACCTGTGGTCCCAGCCTAACTGGACAGCATCAGGCTGGAAAGGCTATACCTGACCTAGCCACCCTAAGATGATTTAGCATTTTCTAGTAGCATCTCTACCTTTTTTGGGTTCCACTATGGTAAAAATATTTATCAAGGTTTGGGGCAGTAGCAAATATGAAACAGAGAAAGACAGGGATCCTATTGGAAAAGACGGGTCAAGAGAAGAAGAGGCAGGCATAAAACTCTGCTGTAGTCAATACAAAAGCTTCTTTGGAGATGAGCCTGGCTTTGGAAATGGATTTTTTTTCATTTAAAACAGAGTATCATTAACAAATTACGGTCCAAAGCAGTTTTGAATTCTTTAAGAATAGCAATCCATCTGTTCTCCTTCCCTTCCTATTCCCATCCTTCTTCCATAGTTACAGAAACTCTTATTCCCTACATCTTAATAAATTACCACACCTATTTTCCCAGAACTCAGAAAGGGTCCAAGGCAAAGTATCTTAGATTAATTAAAACATGCACCAATCTTATTAAGATCACCTGCTATGAGTATATACCAGGCCCACAGCATGAAGGAAGCCCAGTGTCCAGCCACCAACAGAGCTAGGGCCTCTTTCAGAACTATTTTTATTATACTTACAAGCATACAACTGCAATGACTCCCAGTATACACTTATTCTTGCTCATCACTACATTTTTGATGTCCAGTGTGATGCAGGCATAAAACATGTCCTAGAAAATCCCCCCTTACATACTGATCACAACAGACTACATTCTGTGATTTTGCCTTCAAAGTGGTGTGTTTTAGTTAAATGTCATCCTACAATTAAAAAGGCAAGAAACTTTAATGAATCTGAAAGCTGTATAGGCTAGAAAATGATGGCTAGATACTAGCTTTTAATTGGCAATTATATGATTCCTGGCAGAAATTAATTGAAGCAACATTAGGTTTGCATAATGTGCTACTGATTAACCCTAACACTTGCTATAGCAGCAAATGAATGATTGGGTTGGGGACTTATTAATTCTGTTGTAAGCATACTGGAAACAATGATTTTACAAGGACATTGTCAAGACATTAAGAACAGTTTCAAGGGCAGAACAACCAATATGAATACTTGGGTTGGCAGTCCAGAATAAAAGTACTACTGATTCTGATAAAACTCTGGATTTGACTTTGCAGATACAGCAAGAGCGGGTACCCCTCTAATTACTTTGTTACCAGCTACCAAAGTTGTCCAAAACTTGTTTGGGAAGAAGGGTCAACAATGGGGCAACCACATCTTCAAAGCTATAAAACAGCTAGTGCTGAAGGACCTTTAAAACTTTTTTTTAAGTTACATTAATGTTTGTTTGTTTGTTTATTTGTCATATTTATATAGCCACCCATCTCACAGTCAAGTGACTCTGGGTGGCATAATTGTAAAAATTATATAAGAATGCTAAACTGTGCAAAATGTCTGTGTTCTCACATGAAGTCTCATAAGATTTGGGTGATTTATTTTTAATTATTTCTTTCTTTTAAATTAATGTTCCAATTTTGTTTGTTTATTGGGGGTGACATGCAACATGTGCAAAATCACACAACAGTGCTTGCCATCTGAAAAGATTACTGATTCCTGCACTATGGGAACAAGCAAGCAGGTAACATTAGTGAATGGAATCATTGAAATCAAATATCTTGGGGATCATTAGATGACTCCTATATCAATTTCAAATGGCCAATTTTAAAGGCATGATCTCTCTTCTGCATTACAGACTTGGCCAAGAGTAATTCAATCTTCTCTAGCCATCTCTTGAACAAAATGACACGATTCAGTCTTTTGAATCTACAGCTGTAGCTAAAAGTACTGGTACCCCTTCACTTTTTCCCAAAAAATCCCCATTTGCCATGAAATAAGTTGAAACTGAGACAAGTAAATGACATCATTAATTCTTTATTCCACAGAGCAGACACTTTGCTTTTGATGTATGACTTAATATATTCCTGTAAATAATAAAACAAATGAAAATGGCATGGACATAATTATTGGTACCCTTTAGAAGTTAAAAGCCATTATTGCATTTTCGTGATTGCTTTTTCTTTGGGAAAAAGTGGAGGGGTACTTATACTCTTGGCCAAGTCTGTAATGCAGAAGAGAGATCATGCCTTTAAAATTGGCCATTTGATATCAAAGAAATTGATATAGGAGTCATCTAATGATCCTCAAGATATTTGATTTCAATGATTCCATTCACTAATGTCCCATCCTAATTACCCATCTGAAAGAGAGAGAGAAAGAGAGCAGGAAAAACAAATATATTTAGCAACTATACAATTATCATTACTTAAACTACATACAGGGTTTTAAATTAATCTTCCCAGAGAGAGCCATATCTATGGAAAAGTTGCTTTACATGCAATATTTGACAAGCCACACCATTTTAATATAGAAATGCATACTACTACCTTGGTATTACATGGAAACTGTCTTCAGATGGCTGAACAAGTAATTCTGTGAAATAGTATTTTATGACACCTATGAGGGGAAAAAAATGAAATCTTTGTACCATATGAATTTATGTACAATGAAAATACAACTTAAGTCAGTAAGTCATGAAAACATCATAAAGAAATAATACACAAGTTCAGGGACATGGGTCACATGGAACTAAGGAGATAAGACAGGAACCACAAGGAACTAGGAATAGAGAGAACACTAAAATGGAGAAAGGGGCTGAAATATTCTTCCTGCTCCCAACATCGCAACAATTTCAAGCCTATCCAGATTAACTCCATGTGCGCCCAGATCAAACAACAAAATGGTATTTGCTTTTTGCTTCCCCTTCCCAGTGTCTTTCCTTCTTTCTCAAGCAGATCCACCATACACACATTGATACCCTTACAAAATGGGATCAACTGGGAAAGTGCTCACTCTTCCAGGTAGCCTGGCCAGCCAATCATTCTGCCTGCCAGTCAGGAAGCCCCATAAGTTGAAATGATGCTTTAAGATCACTGAGAAGCATTCCAGGATCAAGAGGTTTTTCATTTTCAAAGTGGCAATTAGTCACAATGATGATTAATCAATGATGATTAATGATTAATTCAGAGCACAGCACACCATTAAACACATCTCATATGGTCCACAGTGGGAGCAGGGTATAAATCCAATAATCCTTTTCAATTTTCCAAAGGCACCTGGTTGACCACTGTTGGACACTAGGCAAAATGAGCCTTTGAGTCTGGCTCTTCTTAAGAATTACAATTTGAGGCTTTATTCAAAGTTATCCATAAGCAGAGCTGGAGGGGACTCTTTTCTACTGGGCCTGATCATGTTCCATTTCTGACATGGAGCTATGCAGTAAAGAAAATCTTTACCTGTTAAACTTCTGCATGTCAGTCAATTATTAAAGACCTGAGTAGATGGCAAATTGGAAAAAATATGTGGCAACTTCATAAATATTTACATTCTGCTAGGGATGTAGCAGGGATGCTTATAGTATTCAAATACATTATTAATGTGTACGAAATTGAAATTGTTCCCAAAAGATTTTAAAACTAGGTTTTAACAGCCTAACCAAGTGGTGTGCTAGGACAGCTTTCTTTAACCTGGGCCACCTGGAGAGAGGTGTATTTCAGCTCCCCCAATTCCAAGGACAGATGGCCTTTGCTGAGACTCTGGAAGCTGAAGACCAGACTTTTGAAAGTCACTAGGGTTGGGGAAGGCTGAGGTAAGGCCAAAACTGTTCAGGAAGTAAGGCTGCAGAACAATGAAATTATTCTATCAGAAAAACCTGGAACTGATTTTTGGAGGGAGAGTCTGTGCTCTCTAGTTCTTAATGATATCTGCAAGAGCTTCTTACTTTTTCTACAGAGACAACTGGTGAGCTGAAGTGTATGGGGGGCCCTAAGGGAGCTGTCACCTCGTCATTTCTAATATCTCCCTAGTGCTGCTCCGTGGCTTTCTCTTCCCCTCCCCCAGCATTATCTGGGTCTAGAACTCCAAAATACTTGTATAATTCCTCACTCTGAGAATATAATCCTTCCAATATCTTCAACTATAGGGGAACTGTATGAAGAATAACCAAAATTTGCTTTGTAAACTGAAATCATGTGGAAAGAGTCTTAAAGGTATTTTGAAATGTCCCTTTTGTTCACTCAACCTTTTTCCATTCCCAGCCCCACTGGCAACCTTGTTTCCCTTGCTCCCATCTGCTACATATTAAAACACCAAAACACCCTTTGCTCATTCCAAAAAAAGTGAACTTTCCTTTGAGTCAAGCTTAATAGCTGGTGACATCACAGACATATCTATATCCTTTGTTTGGCAAATATACAGAAGGGGCTGCTGTTCCTTTCTTCTGAGATGTATTTTTCTTCCCCAGTCTAGTGAACAGTCCTGGGGCTTCCTGCTAGCCTCCCATTCAACGACTAATCTCTGCTTAGCTTTCCAAGATCAGTCAAGGTTACCCAGCTGCTGCAGCCTAGCTACATTTTTTGTTAAAATGAGGAAAAACAAAAACAAGGCAAATAAACTGTCCCCCCTCAAAAAAATCACAGGGGATAGTTTTCAAAATGATGTTACTCTGCTTAGGACTGATAGGGAAATGGGAGCAATATTTTACCCTAGAAAGACGCTTGTGGTGGTGAGACAGACTAACAGAACACCATCATTGGAAATAGCAACCCTTCTCCTTAACTCTTTGGGATGGACAACTTTACTTGCTTGGTAGTAAAATGTTCCCTGACTTTGCAGGAAACATTTATAATATTCTCCCTAATTATTATTTTTATTGCTCCTAAATCCAGACAAATGTTATGGCTGCCTAATGAAAAGATATTTAGGGTAAAAGAAAGAAAGACCTCAACCCTTTAAAAACCATATAAATAACAGCAATTTTAACTGGCCATTTTAAAACATCTCTAACAACAGGTGACTAAAACAGTCTCCAAAATTTTTGTCTTAGAATTCAGTACCTGAGGGCATAGCTTCTCCCAACAATGTCTTGCAGCGTTTGCAAATTACTGTACTGTTTGCCTGTGAATTCTGCAAAGCAAAGAAATAAGATTTAAATGTCTCCCTGTTTAGTAGGGATATGAAGAGAAAATGTGTTTAAAATTTCTACGAATAATTCAATCTATTGGACAATATTCTCCTGTTATATTCCAGACAAATGAGCCCATGTCTCTTTCAAACTCCCATCCTGAACTTATTAAGGAAGACTATTATAATTCCATGACAATGACCAATCAACCTTTAAAAATTACTGAACCTGGTCCCCGCCATTACTGTCTACAACAAAGGGCCCACCAGTGCACAGTCATTAAACTGTAAAGCTGATGATTTATTTGCAGAGAACATTTTATTAAAATTGAGGGCAAGGATGTATCTACTCAATCACCGAGAAGACTGAAGACTTCACCACGAACTCTAGATACGTGCATGGTAGAAAAGTACTAGCAATTTCAGCATCAAATTACCAAAAGCAGAGAAAGCTGCATATAGGAGAAGAGGTAAAGTAGTCAACCCCATATTTAAAAATGTAAGGTGCTCTAGTAATTCATAAGCAAACCTGTAAGTTGTGTTGGTCAGAATAATTATTTCCATTTTGCAACATCCTGGACGAAAAAGGGAGGAGGAAAGTACAGTGGCAGGACACATAACTTCCTTGGCAGAAGACCTGTGGCATCTCCAAGTGGTCAGGCAAATGGGACAACCCCTTTACCAGAGGACATGGATTGCTGCTGCCAGTCCAAGTTGGCTGAACTGAGCCAGGTGGACCGATGATATGACACTTTGCCCATAAGACATTTACTTTGATGGATAGATGGGGGAAAGAAGGCCAAAGAGAAGAACTGTCCGCAGATTGCTAAACATACTCAAACACCTTGAAAGCGGAACTCTAGGCTGGGATGGAGGGAGCAGATGCAAAGACTTTTCACAACTTAAAGCATCCTGTTATTTTTATACAATGACAAAAGCAGTAGAGCAAAGTTAAACAACTCCAGATCACTGGCTTTGTGCAGACTCATTGCCACTTAAAGTCCCACAACACAACATGTAAACCCCAATGTCTTTTTTTATGATGTCCTTTCTTTTGGTAAGGATATGAGCTCTCAGATGAAAAGCGACTAAAACAAGCACTGTGTGCTAGAGAAACAAATGGATGGTTTAGCCCAGAGTTAGCCAGAAAGCTTCAGGACTAAACAGAGAGTTGAACCTAGATTGGTGTTCTTCAGACCTGTTGGACCAGAACTCCCATAATCCCCACCAGCTTGACTGTAATCCAACATTTAGAAGACAACTATATTCACTGCCTAGACTAATAAAGGATTATGCAGCTAAGATTCCTCAAAAGGGCCAAACGTGGACTTGAAAATATCTTTTTCCAAATTTTACAAGCAGTCCAAAGCCAAGGATCTATGCAATTCTGAACTTCTGCAACATAAACTGAATATCCCCAGCACCACACCTAACACAAAATTCTGTGTTAAAATGAACCCCAATTCTATGGCATGAGAGAGGAATTACCTAGTCCATACAGGCAGCACTCATTATCTACAGCCTCATTTTCTGGTTTCTTTATATATCCACAATTAAAAATACATACTAGACTTTAGTATCTGTATCATACAGTTTTGCATATCCACAATTTCAGCCACATTTTTGTGAATATTACAGATACACATAAAGATGGATGTTTTTTCACAGTCTCATTATCTGTGGTTTCATTATCTCAGGTTGCTCAGCTGGAAGAGAATTCCTGCAAATAACAAGGGCCATCTAGATACAGTATGCAAAATGACTAGTCTTGATTAGACTTTTGCTGAAGACTATACTAGATAATTTAAAAATATTTTTAAAAAGCCTATCTGGATTGGAACATTAAGTTTATCTTGCTTTCAACTGAATCCAAGCATATGGTTCTAGAAAAAGGTATTTATTTATTTGTTTGTTTATTTAATTAATTTATTTATTAGATTTACTAGAGACTGCCCAGCTCCAAAATGACTCTTGGTGACCTACACTAAAAATAAAAAGAATGAAAGGAAAACAATAAAAAGAAAATCCCAGTCATCCAGATAAATATACTCCCTCTAACAAAAAACATCACCAACAGGACTCAACAAACACCCTTCCCCAAGGCCCAGGAGAACAGCCAAGTTTTTAAAGACTTCCTGAACATCACCAGGATGAGAGCTATACAGATCTCTGGGGGAATATTGTTCCAGTGGGCAGGTGCCACAACAAAGAATTGTGTTGCACCTGGAAACTCAATGGCAGCTTGTGGAGTAGAGGTATCACATAGGTACCCCAAGGCATTGCCAGCACTGCCCATACCTCTGCATTCTGGATCACTTATAGCTCCTGGGTGGTCTTCAAGTGCAGCTTCATGTAGAGCTCATTACAATAGTCCAACTATGAGGCGACTAGGACATGAGTGGCTGTTTGGAGGGCCTCCTGATCCAGCGATTAGAAATGTAATCTGTTGTATCTCCAAGGAGAGCTAACTAGACTTCTCAAACTTTGAAGAGCCAGCGCAACCCAATTAGTGCCTCCAAGGCGACTAGGACATGAGTGGCTGTTTGGAGGGCCTCCTGATCCAGCGATTAGAAATGTAATCTGTTGTATCTCCAAGGAGAGCTAACTAGACTTCTCAAACTTTGAAGAGCCAGCGCAACCCAATTAGTGCCTCCAAAATTGCCACAATTGTTTGCCAATGGCCATATTGTTTGGGGCACCAAGTTGCTTCCCTCTAACACCATACCTAATTCTTAGCTCTATGGACCATACAAATTCACCTTCGGGTGCTTCTCCTGTTCTTTCCATCTTATTGTACAATATTTATTTATTTATATTTCAAATTTAGATACCGCCCATCTCACAAAAAAGTGACTCTGGGCAGTTGCAGAAGCTCCTGAACATGGAAGGGTTTTATTTTTGTTTTTAACAAAACCACTGTAGCTAATTGCTTTCGGTTTAGTGGTTTTAAAGTCTTATTGTCCATTAACTAATTCATAATGAATATAAGTAGCTTATTTTATAAAAAGTTTTCTTACAAAATAAATATTCAAAGGTTATGTTACATTTCACAGACAGTTCTGTTGTTACCACTCCATGGTCCAATGTATTTTCTCCTGATTAGAAGTTCATGTAATGATAAAAGAGTCATACACCAAGAACTCCATGGTTTCGCTGGCCTGAACAGAAATAACAGTATGTTTTTGCCACACAAATTAAATCAATGTATCTTGTGTGACAACTTTCAGCTGCTGGCTAGCTGCACACTAATTTTTCCGCCCACTTCTATCTGAAAATGTCCTTGATATTGTCTGCAAGAAAACATTTTCCCCTAGAGATAAGTGTTAGAACGGTCTGCGACCTTGGGGCATCTAAAATTATGTCATGTGATGATCTGAAGAAGAATTGTCTGAGACACAGAAAATAAGGCGGTGTCAGTGGCATGCAGGTTGGCACACGTGCAAGTGCACCGCTTCAGGGTTCATTATTCAATGACTTATCACCTGCTGAGGATCAGCAAAATGGGTGAACCGCTCCATTAAGGAGTCCTGTTTCAAATGATATGGAGGACTGGTCAATAGTCCTCTCTCTGTGATGGCTGCTTCACAGATCAGGTTATTGCCTGATGTTACAATTACCAAGTGATGAAAATACACTTCAACATTCTCCAAGATTTACGAGAAACAACAGCCTTCAAAGGCAAGACACACATAATAATTTAAGATGTTTGTGTATGGGGAGGAAGCAAGGGAAGAAGATTAAGTTACAGGCCTTTAGGTTTTTCAGTTATAAATACAAGGGTTTAGATCCTGCTCATGATTTTATTGAATGTTATTGATTTTGGGTTTTTTTCCCCAGTTACATTGGTGACTCTCAGTTATAGTCCACAACCAGCCAAATTAAAAATATCATACTACCAATATAGCACTGACCTAAAAGAAAATTTAAATCATATATAATTAATTATATAACAAAACACCTAATATTCTTTGAATAACAACTGACAAATAGATGCCATGATTGTGTAATTTTTTGTGCACCATTTCATTTACACTGACAGTAAATAAATAACATGGACTTCCTCTGCTCTAGTTGACCTTTAAACCAGTAAGGGCATGATAAAAATGAATAGGGCCCCCTATAAATCTAGCAGTGTAATTACACATGGACCACTGACTTTCTCACCTGCTCCACACAGACATGAGTAGCAATAGGAATATTATAGCATTTTCCCATCAATAAGACCATTATTAAGAGGTTGAACCTAGAGTAATAAATTCTTCTGCATTCTGTTTAGGTAATATTAAACAAGTAACTCCTGATTCTTCCAAGCAAATAGTGAACAAAAATCATACTCCGATCTTTTGAAACTCAGTGTTATATACACATGCCTGAAGGAGTATTTAGCTTTGTCTAACCCAAGGAATTTAAGGACTGCAAATCCACTAAGGTGCAACTCAATTTCAGTTGAAGATCTCCAAGAGGACTGAAACCTGTGGTGTAAAACAGCGACTGTTCTTCAAAAGTGTCAAAAGATCCAGAGGTGAAAACTACTTTAAGCCAGTAGTTAAAGCAGAAGAGCTACACTCAGGTCTCAAGTGAGATCACCTAAACTCCAAACATGGAGCCATTTTTGAATAACCAGGTTTCCAAAGTCCTTAATCAGACACACCTGGGCCCCACATAGTAACTGATTGCTGATTTTGCCTTCAAAATATTTCAGTGCTGGAGGGATGCAATTTCCACCCTTGTCAGAAGAGATGCCAAGAATGGCCAATGAATTCCTCTGGATGTTCCCCAGAACAGATCATCATTGTGTTTTTCCAGAACCAGAGGGGTGAAAAATAATTCACAGATATCAGAAAGATATGTTTCCTTTTATAATGTTCTCATTAATTTGCTTGCACTTTGCAAATCTCTTTATAAAAGCCATACTCTTCATATTGTGACAGTTTATAGTTATTTTTATATTTTTTTTTTACAAAAGAACATTAAGTGCAGTAACACAAGCATATGTTAACTAACCTTACACTGGCTGGGTCTGCACATTGCACCATGTTACAACATGATTTGTTATGGTTTGGCTTACCACAATAAGCGAACTCAAGTACTGTGGTTTGCAAAACATGGTTTATGGCTTAGCATGTTATGTTAATCAGCCAAATGTGGCCTTCCCAGCTTTAGCACAATCAGTGAACCCAAGCAAACAATTCTCTTGGCTAACATAATCTCCAAAATCCTTGGCACAAACCCCAAGGAGTGTTATATAAGAGTTCCAACCCAGGAATTGAGACCTTGTGACCCTTGCAGTGTTGTTCGACTACAAGTCCCATAATGGCCAGAATGCAGTGACCTAACACTGTTTCTAGTACCTGGCTTAATGAAAATAGCAGAGAACTAATTCTGCAATTCAAAGGAATGGAGTCTTCTGCTTTATTTTTTGTGTATACTTACCGAGGGAGACTCACAACTTGTAGCCCATTCATCTTCTGAATACAGGATTCCAGATTCTGTCCCAGATAACTCACTTCTTGAATTAATCATGAGGTAATTGTGCCCAAGAAAACAGTCATCATTCTGGGGATGAAGCAGGCTGTCATTGAAAGGGTTAGGATGGCAACACCATTCCTCGACCAAATCATTCCAGTTCTCAAAAGGAAGGGAAAGAACTCGGAGAAATGTCCTAAAAAAGAAGAAAATGAGTTGATTACTGTAACAGAGGCAACATAAAATTCAGGCTGTACAGATTTCAGAACATTCTTCTGAATAAAGAAATGGGACCTGATTTTCTATTGTTTCTCATGCTGAGAACCATATAAAAAAATGGAGAATAATTCTAACTTTGCAGGGGAGAACCTATGTTTGTGTATCTTAGTATGCTAGTAATGGTTTCTGGACCACTGGAAGGCATCCACAGGGGAGAAATTGGTCTAGGGCTATTAATGGAATGGAATGGTTTGATTCAGTGACAGGACACAAAGCAGCTTCTGACTGAATATACTTTACAAAAAAACAATTTACTCTTAACCGTTAGATGGGCTGGATCAGGAGAACAGGCATAGTTCAAAGTCGCATGGTTTCGGAAATTAAAAACAGGTTCTTAAAATAGCAGGTACTAGGTACCTAGGAAATTTTTTCTTTTGAAATAAGAAAAATATTCATGCAGGTAAGTATGTATGCATTCATTCACTGTATTAAATGCCTAGATGTGACTATGGCTATGCCTAGATGTGACAATGAGGTGAGAGGGGGAAACTGTATTGCACTGGTAATGCCAGTGAATCGATCCATTTCCCTGTATTATTCCTACAGTAAGCAAGGCTTGAAGTGATAGATTTTATGTTTTCTGTGCTACTTATTACTTATAATTGTTTCATCATATTACGTATTCCACCAGTGCCAGTTTTTAAGTATCAGCTAGTGCTATACAAACTTAATCAGTTTGACTCAAAAATAGGCAGAGTGGGGACATGCACATCCTCTTATATCATTTCCAGGAATGCTATAATGGAGAAAAATGTCATCCACCCCGCAGTACTTCCTTGCCTCATGGATGAACCCTTAAAAGCAGAGCTGAGTAGTTCAGGGGCAAAGCAATGAGTTCAACAGCATGTCTACATCCATATAAAAGCTTCAATCCTACCCTAAAGATAACATTAAAGAGACTTTATCAAAAGGAGCCACAAATTTTATGATTTAGTATTTCAGAAGAAATATGGACAACATGCAAGGGCTAGTTTTGGTAAAGGGGGAAACATACAGTCTGAGACCAGATTATCACAGTAACAATGTGCAGTTGGCATTTCTCAGCCTATTATCCCACATAGGTGGAAGAAAGGGGTCCAGAAGCTGAACCTTGTTCCTACTATAAATAGGGCTTGTATCTTACATTTGGGAGTTGCTGGATTTTTGCTTTAACAAACCTTTCCCAGTTCTTGCAATCAACATACCTCTTAAAGAGCTGTGCCTCTGAATCACTGCCTGCGAGCCTTCTAGTTTAATAATTAGCCAGGAGAAGCCTACAAAGTCTTTCATGAAAATCTTATGGTGGTTTAAGATTTACCTTCAAGTGGCCAAACAGTATAACTCAGACACAAAATGACTTGAAGCATAGTCTCAGATTTCATGCTAAACCTGACAAGAATGTGCTTTGATGGTACTTGTTCAGCAGAAGTCCATACAAGAATGTCTGGAGCAAACTTTTCCTCTTATAGCCAACTGGCATCTTCTCAGTCATGCCATATACAAATCCAGCCAGGATAACACAAATCTCTCTTTCTTTTTAGGCAGCTCAACTAATTCTAGTGACTTTTTCTTAACCACTTCAGTACTTAGTTCTACATATTTTTGTTTTCATTTTTTAGAACACAAACACACAAATAAATCAGTTTCTACAACAACAGAAAAGAAAAATAAGAGCATATTGTATAGGGTTATGCTAAAGCAATACATTTTGATAGCAAGCAATGCTAGGTCTTTTTCCACAGACTCAGAAAATGTAATGCAAAAAGGGTAGTTTAAACAGATGACCCCTTCTGCAATTTATTTTTCAGTGTTCCTATAAAGCAAATGTGCAGTGATATTTGGGATTAATGGAGAAGGGTCGAGGCCAAAAAAGTGAGCTGAGGAAAATTAATTTAAAGGGCATGCTACCCGGTTCCAATCTTTTGAATGCAAGGGCAATACCATGAAAAGCATTACGCCCATGCCTCCTGCAGAAAAACAGTCTGTGAAAAGCATGAACATGGCTCAATAGTCAGGTGACACAACCTCTCGGGTCCTCAACAATCGTATGATTTTGCAATCTATGCAGTAGAAAAATAGGCAGTCTATAATTGAGTAGTATAATGTAGCCAAGTCTCTGCAGCTTCAATTAGTGGGGGGAAATCTTCCTGGCCTGCCCCTATGGACTATGGGAAAGCAAAAACGTCCCTCTTTGTAATTAAAAGCCAAATGTCCTACAGAAACATACAGTGAACCTGACAAGCTTGCTAGTGCAGTAACTCACCATGTTTGGTACATCCCAATAAAAATATTTTTAAATTAATTTATTAACAACATTCACATGTTGAACGTAACTGTCATTTTCTCAACAGCTGATTTTAAACAAAATCCAGCTTAAAAATGACCTGCAATTTTCTTGTTGCTTGGAAATCTTAATATCCTGCTCTTCAGCTGAAAAAGGTCTCAAAGACAGAACATTGCAAGACATCTAAAAGTATGAATGGTGCTAATAAAAGTAAAAAGAGGGGAAAGAAAAATGCCATTCATAGTATACGACGACTATTGTATACGGGCAACAGTGATTTTTAAACTTTCAAAAGGACTCCTAACTCCTTATCTTTCTGGTCTGGGCTTCACTTCCAGATTATTTGAGTTCAAGCTTCACCAAGTTGTTCCACTTCTTCTAGTATGAACGATTTGCAAAAACATTCATCAATAGGAAAATTCTCACAGAGTACAGTACTTACCTATTATTAATTACACTCTCCCCGCAAGACTGGCAGTAAAAAGTACAACTCTTTTTGGATTTCAGGCCATCACCAACAGCTGGCATCAATTCTGAAAGATATTGAAGAATATAACAATGGTAAAACTACAGTCATGTTCACACAAGGTGCCCAGTGTAGCACTGGATTCACAACAATAATAATCTTACTCTATATATTTCAATTGTTCACCACATCATGTCAGTAATGAGGAAACATTCCTGAAAAGGAGTCTTGTATTATCACCCCATATTCCACAAAATGGGTTTTAGCCTAACAGCATAAGGATTACAGGGCAAGATCATAGCTGAAATAAGATCTGGAGCAATTTCCCCGACCTTGGAGATGACTGGATTGATGGCCTTCTTTTTAGATTTCTTAAAAATAACCATGCAAACTGGGGGATTCTGCAGATGAAGTCCACACATTTAGAAATCTGCATGTTGGGAAAGGTTGTTCTGGAGGATAAAGATTTCAGTGACTCGATGACTGCTAGTCAGGAGTCTTCCTGATCCTCAAGGATAAAAAAGGCAAATATCAGGCTTCATGCCAGACATGACAATGAATCTTGACTCCCCATATTCAGGAATTTCTTATAACAGAAGCGCGTGGACATGACACAACTAGATTAATTACTCTATTGCAGATAAAAAAGAAGCCATCTGTCTCCTGCAGTACACAGAAAGAGTGTATGTGTGAGGGTTTAAATTTAAGGCCTTTTCATCCTGCCTTTTTAAAATCAATGGAGATTTGGTTATTTTCTTCACAGCCTCGAGATTGGAAGACTTGATGCTGACGTTATGATTCTGCCTGGTCTGGGAACTGGTGGTTTCTGCCTCACCAGCTTTATTCCATGACTTATATTCAAACCTCCTAGTTCTATTTAACTATCAATATCTTCATTACATCTGGCTGGTCTTTGTAATTATGCCTTAAATAAAGTTAGAATTAGATGTTTTTGAAGAGTAAAACCTTTATAAAATGTATTAGCATTATTACTTTAAAAATTAAAGGCCTCATTAAAATTAACTTTATTAAAATATATTCTGTTATTATATGATTAAGTAATTTGTCCCTCTCAAAAGGTGTTTTAAAGTCCTTGAAGAAATAATCTGCTATCCCAAAGATCTGATAAAATAGCACAAATCCAGTCAAGCAATACTATATCCAATCTGTTAATAACATGATATTAGAAAGTCTCCTCTTTACAAACCACATTTCCTGTAAATTATGGTGCAATTATACACATCTACTAAGAAATAAGCTTCACAAGGCCAGTGAGATTTAGCTCTTAGTAAATGTAGGCGGAACTAAGATTCCTAAAGAGAAAAGTAAAGTGCAGAACATGTAGCACTGGGAGCTGATTAAAAATATCATTTTCTGATACGAGAGAACAGAATAATTTCTCCAAGTCTCAACATTTGGGCCAGGAAACAGAAAGCTGTTTTAATAGTCTCTTAATATTTTGCCTATGAAGCATGACAAATTAATAATGTTTATTTCTATGAGGGTCAGAACAAGGAATAAATCCAACAAAATCCGAGTTAGACGAATGAAACTTTAGAGGCAATGAGAAAAAAGGAAGTCGCCTAAATCGGGATTCCCTTATCCACATCTCACAACTAAACATTGTTTTGTTCCTAATCCAATGTTTGATAGGTAAATGCATCTTTCCTAGAAAATGTTCTTAACCGATCCCAATTTAGATAGTTTAGGGAAGAAAGAAGAAAAAGTCCACTCTTACTTGCACTGAAATCTACTTGAACGAGTAGTCTCAGATGTAAGCCTTCCCCAGGCAGATACTGCAGCCCTCGACAGGAGGAAGGCACAATCGCGACCCCTGGTGGAAGGCTGAAAGCTTTGCAAGCTTTACCACTTTTTAGCTCTACTAAAGAAGGCATCACAGCAATATCCACGGGCCAGCTTTCTGGATGTAACTCACTACAGGGATTTAAGAGAGAACAATGATACCCCATTAGTAGATAGTTGCAATAGTAATCAACATGGCTGGGAAATTCTCAGAAGGACACATTTGAAATTATTTAAGGCATTTCTGTACCTCACTTCATAAATAGGTACAATGTAAACAAAAAGACAGACACAATAATTAAATCAATCAAATGCAGCACAGCAGAAATGGAAAGCAAGTTGATAATGGAGCTCCTGTATCCTTGATCAGGACTGGGAGACGTACAAAAGATTGTGAATGACGTCATCCCAGGCTGCACTGGGATGGGAAAATGCCAAGATAAGGAACTGCATGGGATTTGAAGGGTGCAAGAGTCTTCTACTTGGCTTTAGGCAAAATGTGCTTCAGATGCAGGAGTATCCTCTTGCATCTGGCAGTTCCTCAAAGAAACCACACCTTTGCTGGAACTAAATGTGCCTTTTCCTGGAACCACACATGGGTCCCACCTGCAAAAGACGAGCTTCTTTATATTTTGCAGGTCTCCTGATCCTGTGAACAGATGTTTCAGGGAGTAGCAGGTGTGAAAAATCCTTATGCAAGCTTTTTTTTTTTTGGTTCGCTGAACACTGATGTTTACCTGATAAAACAAGTAGCACAAATAGCTAAAGATCAATTAAAACAACAGAGTGGAAAACTTTATTTCCAATACTAAGTGCAGAACATCCTTCCAATATGATACATGTGTGTGTGTGTGTGTGTATACACACACACACACACACACACACACGACTAAATGATACATTAAAATGCCTGGCAGAATGAACATGTTTTAATCTGAGGCCTAAAAATAAAGTAGGTTAAAAAAGGTTTTCAGGCGAAAAAGCCGGAAAGACCAATTTAAATAAAATAAAATAAAATAAAATAAATATTTATCTCTTAAAAATGTTACCAACTTCTGAGTGAACTCAAAAAAAAAAAGTGAAGGGGTAAGTCGAGACAGAAAATCCCATGGAAATCAAAACACCATCCCAGAAGAAGGCCGTGACAATCTTCTTCCATACTGTTACCAGGCAGCACTGGTTGGTTTGCTTCCAGGTGTGATTCAAGGTGCTGGTTGTTACCTATAAAGCCCTACATGGCATAGGGCCTGGTTACTTGAGGGACCGCCTGTCTCCCAGAACATCTGCCCAACCGATTCCATCCTGCAGGGTTGGCACGCTCTGGGTTCCTTCAGTTAAATAACGTTATCAGGACCCTGAAAGAGTGCCTTCTCTGTAGCAGCGCCTGCCCTCAGGAATGAGGTTCCCCCCAGATCCAAATGGCCCCCACTCTGCTGTTGTTTAGAAGAGGCGTGAAGGCCTTCGGGGAGGGAGAGGGAGACCCTTCACTTCATTGTGCTTGCCGTCTTTTATCTTTGTCTTTTATGTTTTATTAACTTTATTGTAATTTCTTTGATTGTTGTGAACTGCCCAGAGTCATTGAGATTTGGGTGGTATACAAGTTTAATAAATTATTGTTGGTTGCACAGTCAGCCAAATGTTTAGACTGGATTTAGCATTTTTATCCACCTATCAAATCCTCCCCATGGACCTGGTTGTTGCTGTTGCTGTTATTAAAGCTATGTCGAACTGCCCATGTTACTTTATATACTGCAAAACTGGTATACCAGAATATGCTCATTAACATAAACTGTGCTTGTTAACTAAATTACTTTGATTTTGATTATGTTTGGTTTTATTTTAAGAAAAAGTTTGCTTCGGAGCCTGAAAAGAGGCAAGCAATATATCCATGCAAATGAAAGAAATGCCAATGAGATCCTGTTAAATGGCAATATCAGCTTTTAAAAAAACGAGTTTACATCCCTATTGTTAATTTGTTATATGCTGTATAGCACAATGATACCCAACCGTAATTTCTGTTTAAATTGGTAGCAGTAAAATCAATGTCACCAATGTCCAACTATACTTTACATTGGACAAACTGGCCAATCTCTGCACCAAAGAAAGAATGGTGCTGAAGCCCATTCATGGAGGGGGGGGGCAAGAAAGCAGAGAGAGAGGAGGGTCATCCACCCCTCCCCTTGTCTACGGGTGTTATGATGTTGCACGCAAGCCCCAAATGGGCAGAGAAATATCAACATCCAAAATCCAAGAGAGCATTTTAATTCCCTGGATCATACTGATCTCAAGGCAGCAGTCCTTGTAAAAAGAAGTTACAGAAACTGATTTCAGCACCAATAAAATAGTCAAGGTAGAATTCAGTGGAGGAGAGAACACGATTTCTCACAGATCCAATCTTCTGGAAATTATGGTAATTAGCTATTTGCAACAAGAATAATCAGTGTCATTTTTAAGCAATTCAGTATCTTGCCTCTCTTTTAATAATTTTCCCTTTTCTCTCTCCCATCCATGTTATTTAAAAGTAGTAATATTCTGTCAGGACTGTCCTTCATACATCTGCTGATGTAAATTTTGATCCATGAAAGCTTATGTGATAATATATCTGTTAAGATTCCAAAGCATCACAAGATGTTTTGGTCTCTACTGCAAATGTGGAACCTAGTCATCCCTCTAGAAATCATTTACTTCTTATGTTATTATTATATTTCTTTGTTACTGTAACTCACCTCTGAAGACTGGGCAAACTGCACCGGTCTCTATCACTGATGACCTGCAGCAGGACTTGGATTGTAGAAGCATGACCTCAACTTTTTGGGTCAATGGGCATATTTGCAATTTCCAAAACCTACCACATGTATCCTCACAAAAAAATGACAAATATGGGTTGGAATGTCTATTCACAAAATAGCTGTTATGGAAAGCATAACTGATCACAAGAGGGTAATCTGTGAGGCTAAAATGTTGCCTTCTCAGAAAACTTAGGAAAATAGGAGAGCTAAAGTTTCTTATTTCTGATATATTTGAACCTCAAATAAAAATTTCAAAATCAAAACCAAAATTTCAGTTCACAGCAGGTGATGCTTGGGGAAACACATACATACAAGCAAATCCCTATACCTACATACACACACATGCACAAACCCAAAAGCAAAAATTGACCCCCAAAACATGTACCACATACTGTATATACACAGAAAAAACACACTGATATGGGATGCACTTACACACATAGCCTAGGATGTGGGGGTAAACACATTGAGACAGCACATTCCCTTCATGGTAAATTCCCCCCCTAAGAGTCTCCCCAACACCTTCATCTCCAAAACCTCGCTATCATCCAAACTGTGCATTATCCCATTCATTGTATAGACAGGTTGGCACATAGATTCATGGAAATAAGGGACTAGAGGTTGATACTTTACTGCAAGCGAAAGAATGGGAGGAACAGGAGCGACAGCAAATAACAAGAAAAGGATACCAGAGTCTCTGAGGGCATTCTAATACCCATCACCATTGTATCAGGGACCTCAGGATTAAGAAACCAGCCAGTCAATGGATCAGCTCAGTTAAACAGAGTACGGTACGGTGCTCCTTAATGCAACGTACTAATTTCAGTTAAGATCTCTAGACTACCAGGACAAATTTAGAACAGCCAACTGAATATGTTGCAGAACTAGCACCTTCATTGCTAACAGATTTATTGTGCCATAAGTCTGTGTGGACTGGAGTTCACCTCACCAGATGTCATTTTTGAAGAAAGATTCTGGCAATCATCTTGAAAAGAGAAAATAGACCCACTTATAAAAAGAGAAAGCAAGACTACCTAGGAAGGAAATGTTTCTCTTGGGAATCACTGTATACATGTGCCCCCTTTTTATTGAAAACCTTTTGTGCAAATTGTATTTGAAATCTTAGCCTCCCTTCATTACTGGCAGAGTGAGGAATTCCTTAGATAACTATGGGGGAGAGGCTTAGCAGCACCCACATCTATTCAGAAGAAAGGCTTATTCATAGGCAAACATATAATTTGTGCCTTTCTATCTAATTTTAAAATCCCCCTTCAAGCAAATAATTGAGGATTCTGGCGAAAAAGTTTTGTATCTCCCACAGCAGCCTATTAGAATGGGGAAGGGGGGGGCAATATAGAGTGAAAAAACTGGTGGCCCCAACAAATCTGGCATACAAATTTCAGGTGACATGAGGCCTGCATTAAAAAACAAAAACAAAACAAAACCACCAAAAGCCATAATACAGAAGATGTCAGGCCCAGTCCAAGAACAACGAGGCAGTCCAATCCAGTATAGTTCCTTTATTAGCTTGCACCTCATGGACAGAATCTCGCCAGACTAAACCTAAGCTAAAGCAACTAGTGGCTATACCCCATGTGACTCTAGGGAGGGGCCAGTCTCAGCTTCTTCACCTTCTCACGGTGCTGCGGGCTGAAGAAGCACTTGCTCAGGAATGCTCCCCCTCCCTCCTGATAACCTTGATCCTCCATTCCAGTACCCTCCTCGCACATGCCTTCCACTACAGAAGGTCCCCTACATATGAACTTTCAAGCTGCAAACTTCGGCCAATACAAACAAGATGGACCCGGAAGTTGGAGCCGGAAGTTGGGCTGGAAGTCAGGAGAAAGCACGCTGAAAACTAATTCTTTCCCACCATCTCCTGACTTCTTGCGCTGACTTCCGGTCCTGATTTCTCGCATGGTCGGTTGTGTTTGGTGTGTGGCAACTGCAAATTGCTTAACTGCTTAACTGCAAATGTCTGCAATTAAGCGCAAGAGTCCTGAAGAGGAGGGTGGTAGTGCGAAGAAGCGGCAATCCATTACGATGCTCACGAAGATGGAGATATTGAAGAAAATGCGGGGGG